CAGTCAGTTTTATCACCCTTCTTGTGATCTGGTACAATAATAGACTCCTTCCACTGATAGGCAATTTTTCCCCATGCCAAATAGAAGTAATTAGCCTATGGATCTTAGACCATAATATTTCACCTCCTGCTTGAATAAGACCTGCTGGAATTTGATCACTACCTGGCAATTTATATCTTTTCAACTTTGCAACAGCAATTTGAACCTCAAGAGGGCTAGGATCAGGTACTAACAGCTCAGCTGTGTGCATTTCTGTCTGCCTAACATCACTGACACTATGCATATTCAATAACTGAGAGTAGTAGTTCCTCAACCTGTTCAAAATGTTGTGCAAATCTGCAAGCAGATCACAACTCTCATCCTTCTCTCAGCTGCTTCTAGGTTGGCAACCCCTCTTAAAGTCATTTATTCCTCTATACAGGTCTCTAATGTTCTTGTTATTACTGTTCATTGCAAGGTCATTAATTTCGTCTTTCAAATACTCCCTCTTTTATTCCTGAAATGCCTGATTGCTTATGTTGTTCAAATTATCTCCATTTATTTCACTTGAATCCTATAACCACTGTAATTTGGCTTGTTTCCCTTGATCCAATAATTTTGAGCATCCTTTGTCATGCAATGGCTTATGCTTCTTTGATTCATAATAACCTAGATTATGAATTTGATTTGTTTCATTTTGGTCCATCACACTAACAAGGGCATGTAAGGGCATGAAGAATTGAAATAAGAAAAATCTCTACCAGTCTCACTGGATGGAACTGTTTTATCTTTTTATAACCTAGACTACCTATGGCTGACTTTTTATATGCCCTCTAATAGTTTCCCAAAGCTACGAACCTATCTGAGATTTCAACATCATACTTCTCTTTATACTCTACCTCATTTAATTTTTTGAGATTGAACCTCTCAATATGAAATCTGTGCATTATTTGTTTACTCACTGCCAGTCTCTCCTTAACTTCTGCCACCACCAGATAGCAGTCAGTATCACAATCAGTTGCACTGAAGGATCGGACTTCAAGAATAAATTAATGGTGTATCCTGTCTATCAAAATATTGTCAATTTGGCTGTGAGTCTTGGCAAAGTTTACTACTCTAACTCCATTATCATTATTAATTTCAGACAAATTCTTATTCCCAGTTGTTCATTCAAAAATGTCTTCCCTACCTACTTTGGCACTGAAGTCTCCTAACAAAATTTTTGTATAGTATTTAGGGAATGTATCAAATACATGTTCTTGTTCTTCACAGAACCTGTCCTTCACATCACCAATTTTGTTCTCTGTTAGGGCATGAACATTCAGAACAAAGATATGACACCAGCCACCTCTCAGTGTTATGTATGACATCCTATCATTAACAAACTCTGGCCTCGTAACTGCTGATATGATTTTCTTACACACAAAAAAAAACTGTACCTAATTCACGATTCTCACTCCAATTTCTATGGGAATATGTACATTTGCCTTCTGGTTCAGTGCCACCTCTGTCCCATCTGACCTGTACTCCCACTAAATCTAACTTTTATATTTTGATATTTCTTTTGCAGCTGTCATGAGTGAATGTGCACTCTACAGATTTCTTATAATCCATGTACCAAATCTCAGTCCATTTTCTTTAGCTTAGGTTGCTTAACCAAAGAACCTGTTCAGGTCTGATGTCCTTGTGACATTTCACAACATGCTTATTTTTTACGATGAGTTGTTAGCCCCATGCCTCACACCCAACCTGGAGGACCACCCCCCATCAGCTGTCTGTGACTGCTTATTCAGTATATTCGCAGCTCCCCTCCATATCTGGAGGCCACTTCCTCCATCCATAACCTGAGAACACCCTGTGCCGTGGTGACAAGGGACCCATCTAACATGGTTTATGACAATGGCTATCAAAGTTTAAATTTTATTTAATCTTAAGACTTTCAGGATTCATCTAGTTTATTATTTTTAATATATTATAATGAGAATAACACCGGCACCGTGAATTTCTTAGTATTATATACATGGAATAATGTTGTGTAAAATGTAAGCATTTTTCTGGCACTTTAGTTGTAATAACCAATTCCTGGCCAGCTGTGAATTCTCTTCTGCATCTTTCTACATGAAGTGCAATTGCTTCCCAAACTATTTACAGCTGGGGGTCCACACAGGTACTGTTATACCTCACCCTGCACCTCTCTCTTCTTTGATAGAGGATAGTCCACATTCCAGAAGTCAGATAATTCTATATCTGAATACCGAATTTATGTGACCCTGTGGCAGAAGTGTTTATTGCACATTCACAGAGCCATTCCTATTCATGACTTAAAAACACTGATAAGTACAAGACATCATATAAGCATGAGAATATCTTTAACTTATCAGTTCAGATAATACTAAAGATGCTGTCAATGTTGCATTATTTTTATGCTCTTTCATGCCTGTATTGTAACAAGTTCAAACTTAGGAAATATTCATAAAGTATAACAATTCTGCCACATTACCTGTTAAATCCTTTTTTCAAAAACCATAAGACTTATGGGGAAGTCTCTTTGGCACAGCCTATGAGTCACATTTATCTACAACTTCTGTGTGAAATATTTTTTCCATTCTGATAAATATTAAAGAGTTATGTCTCGCACTGAAGCACATCAGTCTTCATATAAAGTGTCGAATGGTTACAGTCTCATGTGCAACACTATGGTCTATAATATTTATTAACTTTAAAAATTTAAAAGTATATCACTACATGTTTCTACCAATGTGGTCATCATCAGGTACTACAATTTTTGGCGAGGAAACTGCTGTCTTCTGTTTTTCCTTATGGTATTAACCTTTTAACGGCTGAGCGGCCTCTGTAGTCTAGAGGTAACGTTCCCACCTCATGACTCGTAGTACGCGGGTTCAAACCTGGCGGAGGTCGTGGAATTTTTAAGGGCGGAAAAATTCAGGGAACAACTCCTCCGGGAGGCACTTTAAGCCATGGGTCCCATGTCGTAGCTTTACGGCACGTAAAAGAACCTCATATCTCCTAAGGAGGTCACTGAGCCAAATTCAAGGACATTTCCCGCCCAACAGTAGTCTCTAACGCCTCTGATATATGGGGGAAGCATTATAGATACCGCTAAGCCAGTAGAGGCTGAACTCGCTGGCTTTGTCGGGACTGATGGTAAGCACCAGTACTGGTAGGGTATAGAGACTGGTAGAATATCATAGAGGGAAGCACAATGGACCAATGCTGGTCTAAGTGCATAGGGAAACCCACTCTCTCCAATAACTAACTAACTAACCTTTAACGGCTGAATGTTAGATATATATGATGCAAGCAGCATTCCGAGTTGGCTGAATGTTATATATATCTAACGCAGTACTCGTGCCCCCTTTGGGAGTGCTGACAGTTTGACCTTGGGTTTGAAACCAAAACAAACCTATGTGAGGTCATGTCAGTTGTTCATTCCTTAGCTCTGAACAATGAAATCGTTTATCACGGTACTGGTTTCGACACTATTTACGTTTAGATATGACTGTTTATGACCGAGTCAGCCAAACATAGCCCAGCTTTGTTTCGAGAACTGATGAGGGAATTTCATCGGTGCTTGCAGACAAGTGATTCCAGAGCCTTCAAGGAAGTGTGACGCATTGTCTAATATTTCTTTATCAGTTAAAAAGTCAGTGTCAGACTGTCATATATTTCTTTAAATATAATTTTTATTCTGTGTCTTGGATGAGGTATAAACCCACTGAGCCAGGATTACTTTGTGAGTAAAAGGCATCTTCGCAACTGCGACTTTCGGTATCAGTGTCAGACTGGTACTCTTTTCGACTAGTATTATAATTAACTTGCATCAATATTTTGCGAGTATTACTAATAGGTGAGTGTCACTTTGTCAATCAACATAATTTATTCGATTTTGCTAGAAACTCCCATCCCCAAGATGATTCTTCAATCACACAAGCCGAATATCATGGTCAGTGGCGTTTCTCGGGGGGAGGCCAAAGTTATCAGGGGGCCCAACTGAGTTGACTGGAGGTGAAACATTCACAACACTGGCCAACCAAAAGGAAACAAAGATGTTGTTGTGTGTTCCGCTAAATAAGAAAAGCAGGAGCACACTCTTCTATTGTAAAAAGGGTGGTGTCACTCTGTGTGAGGTGGACTGCTTCAAGATGTGCCACGCGCGTCAGAGTGTATCGTAAACTACTATACTGCATTATCCTTTTGAAACCTTAGTGCCATACACTAACCAACCAATCAACTCCATGGGGCTGAGCCCTTCTTGAGAAGGTGCCGTAGTTGTGCAGTTACTCAAGAGTGTCACAACATTTTATGGAACCCAAAGATTCCTTACTGTGTCCACAAGTGCCCTCCATGGGTCTCCATCCTGAGCCAGGTCAATTCAGTCCATACCATCCCATTCTGTCTCTCTAAAACAGACCTCTTACATTCCATGTACCAAATCTCATATCCATTTTCCTTCACTTAGGTTGTTCATCCAAAGAATCCATACAAGTCTGAGGTCCTTTGTGACAGTTCATAACAAAATTACTTTTTACATTGAGGAGCTCTTAGTCCCATGCTCAACCCTCAAGCTGGAGGGTTGTCCATGAATGCTTATTGAATATACTCCCAGCTAGCCCCCATATCTGCAGACAATCTCCTGAGGACGAATCATGCTGTGGTGACACGGGACCTACTTCCCATGGAGTGTCATATACTAACACACATAATTCAAAATTGGAATGGAAAACTACATATTTAAAGCATTTTCAGATACTATAAGTACTAATTATAATGAGAATTGTATGAATTTCATGAAGTTTCATTATATCAAATTTGCTCTGTTCATCAGTACAACATGACATATTTTTAAAAAATATTTGTTTATAATTTCACATCCTGCTTACATAAAAGATAAATGATTGTTGGAATTGAAATAAGTCTGTGTGTTAGTACACTGTGACCATTAAATAAAAATACCATATAATATGAAAGGTAACCACATTACAATAAAACAATATACACACGGGTTTTCTGAAGTGTTGAACAGGAGAAGAGAACTGATGGAATCCAAATCCCTTGGCAAACTTCCAAGTCCTTCATCTGGTGTTATCTCAGTATTTCTATGCCAAAGTTTGTTGCTTACTTTTACATGATAAAACTGAAGCTTTTCCTGTAATTATTATGAAAATGTGTTAATTTACTGAAGCTTTCATTCCTTCTGGATACAAAATTCTGCTTCATGCACTGTTTTACACAGAACTGTAGTGAACGATAATGAGAACTTGTGGATTTTGAACAAGTATACTGGACTGTACAGAAAAAGACATTACACATTACATATTACACTGTATTATAAACATCTATACAATTAATTATATTCAAAACACTTCATATTGCTGTAAATAATAATTGGATGTATGAGGGATGTTCAATAAGTAAGCTTCCGTAGCCTGTAATGATTGCATTAATCAAGCAATTTATTTCTTGGGCCATCTACCCTACAGCCCTGACCTTGCCCATCAGACTTCTATTTGTTTGGGCCTCTAAAGCTACACCTGGGATGTCACTGATTCCACAATAATGAAGAAGTGTAAACAGCTGTTGGTGAATGGTCATGAACATAAAAGCCTGATTTCTACCACAATCAAATTTTCAAACTCATGCAAGATGAGACAACTGCATCAATGTGCTTGCTGACTGTAGCGAAAAATAAGGATACATCAGTGTAATAAATGAGCAACCATTTGACACTGTAATGGCGTCTGATTTAATTGTATGAAACAAAGAACCTTACTCACTGAGCAACCTTTGTCACACTTACTTGATTTTCAATATCACTGATTTCTCATGACAGATGTCAGTCTCTGCCATTTGCTAAGAACATTATAATACAACAGGATAATACCACAGAAGGTGGTTTCATATTGTTATGTGTAGGGGTGTGACTTCCAGGCCAGAAAACCGAAACTAACAACTGTGGAGATTTGTTGCACTGACCAAACAACACCCTCTATCCGCTAAAGTTGGCACTAACTTTGTTGACAAGCAGTGGTCGCTCGGTCAGTATAGTTCACTTGAGGACTAAAACAATGGAGTTTTTGTTTTCGTTTTAGGGGTATAACTATAGATGGGGTTTGGACTGGTGACTTGATTTATTGACCAGTTATACACATGACTCAGAACTACAAGCAATTACAGTGCCACCACTAATCACTACAGCACCTGCTAAGCTTTCTTCCAGCCTGCTATGTCTTCACCAGCCATTCCCTAGCAACAGCTTCTAACAGCTGAGGTTCTTCACCTTCATGCACAAAGGTCTTCACTTAACAGCCTTCTGTGCAGAACTCAACCAAGTTCACAGCTAACTCTGTCCCTTGCTTATAACATCTCAGCACAGAACATGTAGAAACACTCCATTTCCATTGTTTAGTCTAACTGTTGCATCATTAAGAATCTGGTGCCTATCCACAGGAATGTGTTTGCCAAGCCAATGCTCAGAGATGGTCACTGTTTACATCGTCACCGCTTAGTAACAGGTCTACATGCCACACTGCTCCCTCCTTAAGGCCATTCTGGATGAATGGCGTACCGATATATCACCATTTCTTCTATTCCGAGGGTTTTGCTTGTCACATCTGTGATCAGTCTTGCCCACCATCCCTGTGACTCAGTTCTCAGGTAATTACTCTCCAACTGCTCCCTTCTTAAGGCTGCGAGGTGCCAGTCAGTCCAGGTGTTTCACCATCATCCTTCTTTACCGATCGGTGAGGGCAACAGTTACAAGAGTGGTCAATACTCTTATATCCATGGCTTTTAATCTGTTGTTAATGGTATCTTTTTGTTTCTGAGGGGGCTGACCTTCAGTCTAACAGAAGACCTGACTATTTGCTTTGTGACATCCAACATGTGAGTTTGTCTGTGGGCCTCATATATTGTCTCCTTGCTTCCCAGATGCGGTTCCTGTCTCCTGCTTCATCTGCTGATGCTGTTGCCAATTGTCCCCTCCTTCCTCAGATGTAGCTCCTGGAGTGTACCTCTGTTCCCTATTCCATTGCTGCATTTCAGTTTCTTGGTATACCACTGTCCTTGCCTTGTCCCTGACGACAGTGTCCATGCCATGCCACTCCTGCATGGTGAGTTATCCCTCTGCGGGTGGTGTCCAACATTTTTTGGGACCCTCATTGCCCTGGGTCCATTTCTTCAGCAGTTGGCTGTGCCCTATGGCTAGATGCCAGTCCTCATGCCGCTTCTTCAGTTTTCACTGCAACCTCTTCCTTAGGGACTTCCTCATGCACTGCTATGGACTCTGTCTCTCTTGAGGTTGGCTCCTTACTCTCCAGACAGGCTGTTATCTCTTTCTGCCAGGAATTCACACTTGCTCCCATCCTTTCCTGAGGGACGTCCATCTTGGATACTATTTCTTCTTCAAGAGCCTCTGTCCTGCCTTGGGTGATATCCATCCAGAAGATGAGAGTACTTCAAAGGACCTAAAACTTCTCAATATTGGCATCTTTCCTGGCTTCCATCCTTTGTTGACTTGTTTCCATTTTGGTCAGCACTGCTTCTTTCAGGAGTTCCTGGCCAGCTCTCATTTCTTCTGGGTTGGTTCGTTCTTATCTCTTATATGTTCACTGCACCAATCCATTGGCATGGTAGGTAATGGCAAGAACACTCGGGCAGCTGATCTATCGGTTCCATCTAAATCATAGGTGGCAGTGCAAGATGGTACCTAACTCTTCAAGGTCCATTTCACAGTTCTGCACCCAGATGGCATTCCTTTGTTCACACAAAAAATTCTTTTTGAAACACATGAAATATGTTGACCTCACAGGTTTACTTGATCGTTTAATGCTTTACTAGTCTGTGATTTTAAGTGTTTTACTGTGAATATATCATAGTTTAGTGGTGGAATTTTGTATTTATAATACAAAATTCTGCCTCCTCCTCCTCCTTCTTTGCTTGTATCATCAGTGTCACTTTCCAGAATAAAGTCACTATCACTGTCAGTTGTATCTAGTTAAAAATGTAAAATAACTATAGGAAAATTCTGTCACCTGAGCAACCTCTCCCTCTTCCCTCCAATTCCAAGAACTGTCTGGACCTAAGCATTTGCCGCCTCCTGATTCCCTTTCTATTGCTTGCCTCCACCTCTTCTTCATGCTTGATCTTTACCCTCATGGTGACAGAATCCAACAGATATGAGCAGAAAGTGATTAGCAGTAAAGTGGATAATGTTCCCACTCTGCTAAAGAACTAAAGAATTACCATGCACAAGATGAAAGGATTCCCGGCCTGTATTCCAAATGTGGGCATAATCAAAAAGCCAACCACAGCATCACATTGGTCACTCTCTCTTTCCAAGTCACCCCATGGTTTGGGAAAATGTATACCAAGCATTGCTTTTCCAACTTGTTGCACTTCTTCCACCTCATCAACAATGAAGGACTGCCAGGCCCCGAATAACCAGACTATGATCTCTGTGCAAGTTACAAACCCCTTGTGAACCATGCAAACAGGTATTCAGGCATCACTACACCCCTCATCAAGAAATTAGTGTTGACAAAAGCCTGGGAGGTACCAAGAACAAAACCAGTCACATGCAGCATTTGCCCAACAAACACCACCACAGTTGGGGAATCAAATTTTGGATGTTGTGTGACTCTGTGTCCAGCTACCGCTTGGAGGTTTTCACATACAGAGGGACCAGGTTTCAGGAAGACAAGGACAAAATCCAAAAAAATGGCCTGGGGTACACTGTCGTGAAAAAACTGCTTGAAATTGGAGGGTACCTCAACAAAGGCTACCATGTCTTCATTGACAACTATTTCATGTCTGTTCCACTTGTCTGCCATCTCCTAAGTACCTACATTGCTGCAACTGATAACAGGAATAGGAAACTTTCATCCCAGCAGTTCCAGAGCAAATCTGCAGTTGGACAAAAAAATGTATTGCAGATCTGGTCCCCTTCTTGCAAGAGTTTTCCGTTAGAATAAATCCCCCCCAAAATTTATCATCCCTCTCTCCAGCCATCCCACAGCCCAAGAAGAGAAAGTAGAAGAAGACATGGTGGCAATCCACAAATAAAACCAAAAATCATTACATTCTGCAACAAGTTTATGGGCAGCTTCAACTCTTGAAACATGATGCTTTACACTTTTATGGATGAAAGGTGGACAGTGTGTTATTGGAAAAAGGCAGCTTTCAACATCACAGCTAGGATGGTGCTGAATAGCTACATCCTCTACAAGGAAGACTACAAGGGGCCTGACTAACTGAAATCCAGGTACTACACTGTGTCCGTAACTGACAGCTTGGGGGACAAGTGGTTGGGGCTGAAGGAGAACGCTGGAGCAGATGATCCTCAAGGGATCACGAGGACTCAGAAAACTCCCTCAAAAGAAAGAGTCTCAGTGCACTGTCTTCACCACAAAGGAGAGGACGCGGAGCGCCAGAACAGTATGCACCAGGTGCAACAAGGGACTACAGGGAGAATGCTTCTCTAAACACAGGTGCTAACTGCAAAAGGTACATATGCACTGTTTTACATATTGTGATGTGGTTCCAGACCAGGGAGCTCTTCATGCATAAAATTTAAATAAAAATTTACACAAAAATATTCTCTTTATAACAGGCTTGGTGACAAGAAAATAAGACCAAAAAGACAATTTTATTTTTTACATAAATTATATAAATCCTAAATTTCTATATTAATTTTTTTATTTTTTTTTCAAATTATTATTATTCAAATTATTATTATTTACAAGTGTTAGCACTTGTAGGATATTTTTGTTTAAATCTGATGTTTATAGTGAATAAATGTGATTTTTTCATGTCTTTGACAGAAACTGTATTTCTGGTGAATTTTTGAAGTGAGACTTGTCTCTTCACAGCCTCCTGTGCAGAACTCAACTAAATTCCCAACTTATTTTGTCCCTTGCTTATAACATCTCAGCATGGTTCCTGTAGAAACACCCCGTTCCCATTGTTGTAGTCCAACCGCTTCATTATTAAGAATCTGCTGCCTAGCCAAGGGAACGTGTTTACCGAACCGTTGCCCAGAAATGGTTATTGTTTATGGAGTCACCACTTAGGAATAGGCACATACACCACAGAATTTAAATTACCATTCCAGTAACTAAGAAAAAGTGAGTCAAGAGAAGTTTCATGGCAAAATAACTCACTCTCATACCATTAATCTTTATGACAAATATCAGCTGTAAATTTCATATTATTGTCATTTCCAGGCTTATTTTATAAGATTAAAATACTGGCCTCAAGTCTAGATTTATTCACTCCTCATTCAGTCCTTCAATGAGCTTCTTCATTCGGTACCACAATTATATAATTGCACTGAATGAGTATAGGATTTAGGTGGTCACATATTTGTGCTGCTGTCATTAACACCTCTCAGCAGTGAAGGATGTTATAAGACTTTCAGCTTAGGCATTAACTAAAAATTCTGCAATAATAGAAATCTTTAAAAGTACAATATGTATCATTAACAGACCATTCTATGATCAGTTATACTGGCAATTTTTCAGCTGCCCAGAACTACACGATAAAATTTTACTCCTACTTGTACAATTCATAACATTACATAGTGTAAATGAAATACAGACTCAGTAACAGATCTATCTTCATTCACAGCTTTTGTAAGGAGTCTTACTTTACTTCCATTAAACATTATGGTATCACCAACAGAACAATACTTTATCACAAGAGTTGCCTATGACTGCACAATATAATTCTATTTCTACTCATCTGTCCTTCACACCATTAAATTTGACAAGATACAACACACACAAGGACAAAATAAACTGCGCCAAAAGTCATAAGTGTACTTCATTCAAACTTTCTCTAAACACTCTAATTTACCAATGCACCTCAATGACTATATTGGTGGTACAATTTCCTAAAACAGTTTAATTCTTCTTTAAGATGATTATTTAACATTGAGCTATACATCTTCAACAGAAGATTAATAAAATTACTTTTTTTCAGTTGTGTAAAGCAATCATCCTGGATGATCACAATTTTGATAGACAGGAACCAAACTGCACTGTGTCACATCCCAGCAGACCATAACCTTAATATTCACCACCATGAGAACATCAAATCTCATAAATCCCAACATATTTTTTACTTTAAAATGCCCTAAACTATTCCTATTTCAAGCACTGAGCATCATCCAACTGCAGGAAAAGGGATAAAGGGAACATAATTACCTGAAGAACCTTGCCTTCCAATGGCATGTGTTTGCTTCTGATTTTTGGCAGACACCTACCAAAGTGTAAAGGAACATCTGAACTGAAAATGGAATGGTAGTCACTAAGAACATCTGAAGCCGGATACTTTGCACTTGAGAATACCTGCAAATACAGTAGAATATATTAATAATTTATTTACAATAGCATAATGCATTTCGAACAGTTTTACTGACTTACTTTTGTTGCTTTACTGCTCCCAGTTAGCTTCTCAAGTTTCATTTTGGCCAAAGATGCTCTTTTATGTAACATCTCCAGCCTGGCTTTACTCTCCACTATTCGAGATTCAACTCGAGCAAATATATCTTTGACTACTTGGTCTAGATAATCTAGCGCATCTGCAATCTGAAGAACAGTTTCCTCTTGCCGTAGGTCTTGCTGAATTAGTGGAACTGAGTACAATGTATGCTCCATTTCATACAACATTCTTACAAACAACAGTTCTGAAAATTATAAACATATGTTAACTTTAATATAAAATAAGCTGAAACCAAGTTACTATCACAATACCCCCGTAAGGTGAGTAATGAATTTCATTTGAGGTCCAGGACTGAGCTAAATCTTAGCAAGGGAATGCATGACAGACTGAAGATGGCAAGGTGCAAGGGTCATTCAATGCTCAGCCCAACTATGCTAACATAAATTAATTCAGTGATATTAAACACAAGGATGTACTGGATAAATATATTTGACATTATTCATTAAAACAATATTTAGTTTAAAGTTCCAATTAACTCTCAGACAGCAGTACCCAAAGTTTCAGCACTAGATCACAAAACCATAAGCTTCAAAACCACAGGAAAATTTCACACCCCTTACCACATGGCTCTGCTTAAAAGACCAAAAGTCACATAATCCTTCCATGACATTGCTGAACTGTGAATTTTAATCTCTTATTAATTTTTCTCAAGTTCATAGTATTGCTCACAGTTTGTGTCTTCACTGAATTGCTGAACTTGGTCTGGTCATATGGAAGATCATTCTAAAATGTCCTTGGCTGTTACAATGCCACTGAAGCAGGGCAGCATGAGAAAATCTGACTATTTACAACTTGCAGAAGATCTTCGAAGACATATCTGAATATCCTGAACATTTTAAATATAAATGTCCACAAAACACAAGAAATAACAACAGAAGCATGCAGTAATCTTGCAACACAGTGAAAAAGCTTAGAAAGAAACTTTAATATCTTTAACAGACAATCAAGTATTCACTTTCTGCAGAAAACCATATGAAGAAAACATGTCACAGCCATGGATGACTTTCATGATGTGCTGCACTGAATAGTGCAAGAATTTTATGACGCGGGAATATTCTACAGCACAAAAATTAAAAAAGGGTGGGGGGGGGCTGATACATTTATGTAAGTATAAAGCTTTGCAACATTTTTATGTGCCAGTAAATCCTGTAATACAATAAACAGAATAAATAGGAACAAATTGGCCATTTTGTTGTAAGTGAAAGTAAGTTCCCTTTCACACCATAAAATTGCCACACTTGAACACCACATACATATATACCATCATGCAAGAGTTTTATCTTCTACAATATAACACAATGCAGTCCCTTAGAAGCCACAGGTGTTTCAGAGGAACATGTCGCCCCCATCTTCTGGGCAGGTGAATAAGTCAAGCAAGGAACAGCATGAAGCAGGCAGCAAGCAGAATGCACATTGCTTAATACTGTCACTTCCTTGGCTTACTCTTTGACCCTGATGATGGTGGTAACATGTTCCTCCAAAACACTGGATGACTTTTACCAGACTACACTGTGTTATATCCAAGAAGATAAAAATGTTCATAACCAAGGCTGTGAGAACCTCAAATACTATATACATTATATTTTCTTGCAGACTAAAAGACTGACTGAGATATGGTTTTCAAAACAGTGAAGTTTAAACCTTGTGCTACATTTCATAGCCAGGTCAAAAGGGATATGTGCCACTTGCCAACTTTTGTGGATAGAGGGTGTCACACGGTCAGCGCAACGGATCACCACAGCTGTTAATCTCGGTTTTCTAGACCAGAGCCACTATTTCCTTGAAATAGCTCCTCAATTATCCTCACGAGGCTGAGTGGACACCGTTCTAGACCCACTACTTCTCAGAAAATTTGGTAGCACTGGGAATTGAACCCAGAACCTCTACATCTTTAGCCAGGAACTCTGACTACTGGACAGAGGCGGCTGAATCCTAAACTCCCTCAAAGTCACACATTTGTGTTTTCAAACTTCCAACGTTGACCAGGTAAAGAAGTCTGAAGTAACTGTTGAAGGCAGTTATCAAGTATTTATGGGGGCTGAACAAAATAATGGAAACACTACAGATACTAAAGGGTTGTGATGATGGTGTACTGAAGTGATTGGGGTTAGCTCTTTCTAAGGGGCCAAACAGAGTAGGTGTCTCCCCCGCTCACTTGAGGACGCAAACAGATCCAGTTTATGAAACACTGTGTTTTCTAGTTTCTAGAATACTGGACAATAGACAAAGTCCAAAAGTCCAGTAATTCTAAGTACTACAGATACTGTACACGATATGTATGCAGTGTCCGTCTTTTAGTGCACTCAATTTCACCTGTTATTTCACAACATGTTTCGGCACTATAGTGCCATCATCAGGTGCTCCATTTACGTTAATCTATTTCATTGCTTGCCATTATGTCATCGTAAAATTTAAAAAGTATTTAAAAATGTTCGTCAATTATAATAAATATTTATATACTAAAAACTTGTTAAGATTATTTATCTTATCCGTCCCAATTCTAACACCATGCATGGTTCCACCACTATGGGAGTTGTTCCTCTTACTCTCAGTGTATATCTGCAACATGAAAAAGTACTTATTATTATTACTTTTGGCTTCTATTTGTTATGTGTTGTATTATAATGTTCAGTACTCACCCC